CCACTTCTTCGGATGCATCCAAAGAAGTGGGTTGTAGCCCACGAAAGCTTATGCTCTAATAAATTTGTTAGTCTCTAAGGTGCCACAAGTACTCCTGTTCTTTTTGCGGATACAGACTAACACGGCTGCTACTCTGAAACCTAACATTTTTTAAGAAGATAGCAGGTTCTTTTTGTTCTTCAGGCCTTTTACTAACAGTCAGATCTAGATCTATCTGCACCCAGACTGTTAGTGATTATACTGTATTAACAGTTTGTTTACCTTTGGGGGGTTACTGGTGTAGCATGGACTGGGGGTGAATAACAGTTCACCTCGTGTATGCACAAATTTTGATCTGACACTAATAAATACAATCCAAAAGAAGGATTCCTAAAAGAGAAGGAAGGATGATCTCATGGCTTTGATGCTAAAATAGGAATCAAGAGACCTGGGTTTAATTCTTGGGTCTGCCACAGATTTCCTAGGTAATCTTGTGCAAATCACTTAATTTCTCTGGGGAAAAATATGTAAAGTGGGGATAATAATGCTTCCTTTCTCCCACACTTTGGTGTGCCTTGTCCGTTTAGATAGTCCCTGCCCTAAAAAGTATGCAATCTCTCAATGTGTCTGTAAAGGTCTTACCACAATGGGTCCTCGGTCTTGGTTGGGGGCCTCTAGATGCTACTGTAGTACAATAGAATAATAGAAATGGAGGGGTAAAAAGGACCAAGACAAGTCCTGAAGTCCAGCTCCCTGTGCTGACGCAGGACCAAGTAAACCTAGACCATCCCTGACAGGGGTTTGTGTAACCTTTGCTTAAACCTCCTGTGATGGGAATTCCTCAGCCTCCTTTGGAAGCCTATTCCAGAACTTAACGACCCTTCTAGTTAAGGGACCTAATTGTCCCTTGCTGCAGATTAAGCTCATTATTACTTGTCCTATCTTCAATGGACATGGAGAACAACTGATCATCATCTTTGTAACAGCCTTTAACATATTTGAAGACGTTATCAGGTCCTGCCTCAGTTGTGTTTTCTCAAGACTAAACTGCCCATTTTTTTAACCGCTCCTGATAGGTCAGATTTTCTAAATCTTGTATTGTTTTTCTTCCTCTCCTCTGGATTCTCTCTAATTTGTCTGTATCTTTCTTAAAGTGCGGCACCCAGAATTGGACACAGAATGATAGGCACCGACTCCAGGGGTGCTCCATTTTTTCGGTGGGTGCACCAACTCCAGCTCTGGAGCACCCACCGAAAAAATTTCGCAGGTGCTTATCACCCACTGGCAGCCAAACTCCCCTCCTCCTCCCAGCTCCTCCTGCCCACTGGGGGAAGGGGTGGAGTGGGGACAGGCCTGGGGTGGAGGGTGGGGTCAAGCATCCCCCGGGTAGAGAGGAAGTCGGCACCTATGTACAGTACTCCAGCTGAGGCCTCACCAGTGCCAAGCAGAGTGGGGCAATTTACCTCCCATCTTACATACATTCCTGTTAATAAACCCCAGAATGATATTAGCCGTATTCGCAACTGCATCACATTGTCGAGTCATATTTAATTTGTGATCCACTATAACCCCCAGATCTTTTTCAGTAGTACTCCCACCTAGACAGGTATTTTGTAGTTGTGCATTTGATTTTTCCTTCCTAGGTGCAGTACTTTGCACTTGTCTTTATTGAATTTCATCTTGTTGATTTTAGACCAATTCTCTAATTTGTCAAGGTCATTTTGAATTCTAACCCTGTCCTCCAAAGTGCGAGCGACCCCTCCCATTTTGGTGTCATCCGCAAACTTTATGAGCATACCCTCCACTCCATTATCCAAGTCATTAGTGAAAATACTGAATAGTGCCAGACCTCACTAGATAGGCCCTCTGTGTTTTACAGTGAACCATTGATAGTAACCCTTTGAGTACGGTCTTTCAACCCGTTGTGCACCCACCTTAAGTAATTTCATTTAGATCACATTTCATTAGTCTGCTTATGAAAATGTCATGTGGGACTATGTCAAAAACCTTACTAAAATCATGATATATCACATCTACAGCTTCCCCCCATCCACTCGGCCAGTAACTCTGTCAAAGAAGGAAATTCGATTGGTTTGGCATGATTTGTTCTTGACAAATAATATGACATGAAGAAGGAAGGAGAAGAGAAAAGAGGTGTTAAAGCAGTGAAAAAATGGTTAAAAACAAGGAGATAATTCTGAAGAATGGGGGTCATATAAATATGGTGATCAGCAGACTCCCGTGTCACCTCCTTACAGATATTTTATGGTTTTTTTATTTGTTATTTAGGTCCAATAAACAATATGCTTCTGGAGGAGAAGCACAGCTATGAATATGTTGATGAAAACGTAATTGAAAACATAAGGAAAAAATTCCAAGAAAGCACAGTTCAAAATAAAACGTATCCCCTGAAGAAGAAGAGGGAAGGTGAGTGTGTCATTCGATCACTTACGAATATAAACAAATGCGTGCCACTGTTTTCAGATCTAATGGCAGTCTTCACTCGTCATGAAATTGGGAGTTGTCTGTGAAAGTGTCAAAGTCTACAGTAGCATTTTCTGAAGAACAGGGGCAAAGCAGAGGAGACACCAGTAGTACAATTTATGACTCACTGTCACTGTTTAGAATGACGCCTTTTTCAATAGACACCAGGTCATTCGAGCTCGGTGAAATTTTTCACAATAGTTTATTCACCAAAAAATGCAGTTTCAGTCGACCAAAAAGTATTTGCAAATTTGACACAGATGCACTGAAATAGTTTTGGACGAAAAAAGTTTGTCCAGTGGTGGTGCTGCTGCCCTTGCCTCCTTTAGAAGAGGATGCCCTGGGATATAGGGCAGTCTGGGTTGGGTGTCTGCACTGCAATAAGGGGTGTAATTTGCAGCTTGTGTAGATGTACTCACACTAGCTTTTACTTTAGCTAGCTTGCTAAAAATAGCAGTAAGGATGTGGCAGCATGAGCTAGCAATGCACGTATGTAGCTGGGGAGGGAGAATAGGGGCAGGCGGCCTTGTACAGCCTGCACTGAAGCCCATGCTGCCACATCCTCACTGATCTTTATAGCAAGCTAGTTAGGGTACAGCTATGTCTGCACACGCTACAGATTGCAGCCCTGCCACAGTGCAGATGTGGCCATAACCCTCTCCGGTTGAAACTGTTCCAAATATTTGGTATAAAATATTTGAATAGTCATTAGCTCAGAGGAAGAGTATGCCACTGACCCTGTAGCTTAGTAGTCAGGGCACTCAGCCGGGAGGTGAGAGATCCAAGTTCAAGTCCCTGGGCTAATAACTATTTAATCACTTATACAAACTGGAATAACTTCAATGGAGAGATTGAGAGACCTGTCCCAGAATGTCCCCTAGCCCAGCAGTCAGGACACTCTCTTGTGGTATAGGAGATCCAAATTCAAATCTCTTCTGCATATCAGGCAGAGGGGGGAATTGAACTCAGGTCTTCCCGCAGCCCAGGTGAGTGTCCTAATCACTAAAGGTATGTCTACACAGTAGTTGAGAGGTATGGGATTCCAGACTAGGGTAGACAGACACATGCTAGCTCTGCTCAAGTTAGTGCACTAAAAATAGCAGTGTGGCTGTGGTGGCGGCTTAGGCTAGCCACCTGAGTGCGGTCCTGCCACATCCCCTGGTACATACTTGGACAGCTAGCCTGAGCAGCCCCCATGCTGCTATTTTTAGCACCCTGCGTGGAGCAGAGCTAGCATGTGTCTGGCAACCCAAGCTGGGAATCACATCTCCCAGCTTCTGAGCAGAGATACGCTAAAGGGCTAATGGTTATAAGGGAACTAGCTATTCCTCCATCAGCTGTTTTGTGACTAGCCCTTCATTTGCTTTGCTTTTTATTTTAAAAATGCCCAAAGACACAAAGTTTCATTCAACCCAAAATGAAATTTTTGTCAACTCACAATTCGCTGAAATTTTCCAGCATTTTTGTTCCATTTTTCAGAACTGCCAGTGAAGCAAAAACCCAGTTATTCACTCTGCTCTATGTGTCATACATAACTAAGCTTTGTAAAAAGCGGTAAACTTTTAGGCCCTGATTTTAATTTAAACTAAAGCTACTTTCTGCTACTCTGGCTGTGGGAAGGGGACTTAAAGCCAGAGTAAACAAGAATCAGGTTCTTACTGCTTAATAACCCCAAATTATCAATTCCAACTTAGCACAAATTGTACTTATATTGTTAAGTAGGGGTGGAGCTGGTGGAAAAGGTGACTGAGCTCCTCAGCTTTCCCACACTCTAATAACAACTCCTGCTTTTTCCCTCTCTAGGTTTCCCTCTTAATCTCTCTTCCTGCCAAATCCCCCTCTTAACTCAGTGCAGGATCCAAAGACTAATTTTCAGTGAGGGTCCTAGGTAGTGAAATTTCTCCCACTGCAGCATGTCTGGGGAGGTGAACGGGATGCACTAGTAGATATTCTACTCCTCCCCATAGCTGATGTTTGCATGTTGCAGCTTGTATCAATTCCCATGTCTCAAGAGTGGTTTCCAGTCCTTTGCAGGCAGCACATGTGCTGCAGCTGTGGATCCTTGTCTTCCCCTCCCCACGCTTGTGGCCAGTGTTCACAGAAGCAAATCCTCTTCTCCCTCTATGCAGGCATTGTGGGGTCTGTAGCAACATATCATGTTCTCTTCCATCTCCAAACTTCATCGCAGCAATGCCTCCAGGGGGACCAGCAGCAGGGGTTCTGCAGCCTGCCTTCTCTTCCCTCTCATCAAAAGACCATTAACTGAGATGAGGCATTTCTAATTCAGATGGGGGCAGCTGGCTTAAATTCATGCTTCTTCCCACCTCCCCTGTGCCTATGCCAAGAAAGAAATGTTCATGCAGCATGAGAGGAGAGCCAGGAAGCAGCAAGAGCACAGAGATTGGAGTCTGCTGCATGCCTAGGGTTACCATATGTCCGTTTTTTCTCGGACATGTCCTGCTTTTTGGTCCTCAAATCCCCGTCCGGGAGGAATTTACAAAAAGCAGGACATGTCCGGGAAAATAGGGAGGCATGGTAAGGGGACCGCCTCCTCCCCGGGCTCCAACTTCCCGGGGCCAGGCGGCGGCTGTTTGTTCTCCCTAGCTGGGCAGCCGGACTTGGGAGCAGCCGCTGCTGCAGCTCCCAGTGCCGCAGGGGGAAGCGGCCAAGCATGTGGCGCTCGGCGGCTGTGGCTCTGGCGCCCGGGGCGTGAACCCCCTGAGCCCGGGCCTGCTTCAGGGACCCAGCTGGTGCAATCCTGTGGGCGGCCCCGGAGTGGGGGCAGCAGGCCCCAGCCCCCCCGTCCCGCTCGGGTCCCGCAGAGGAACGAACGGGGCTGCCGATGCCTCCACCCCGGGGCTGCCCGCGGGATTGCACCAGCTGGGAAGCCAGCCCAGACACGACTGGCCAGGGGCTGGGCACAGTGTGCGCGCTACTGGGTCCCCGCAGCAGGCCCGGGCTAGGGGGGTTTGGACCCGGGCGCCAGAGCCGCAGCCGCCGAGCGCCATGTGCTTGGCCACTTCCTCCCCCCGCGGCAGTGGGAGCTGCAGCAGCGGCTGCTCCCGAGTCCGGCTGCCCAGGTGGGGAGAACGAACAGCCGCCGCCTGGCCCCGCGGGCCACCCCCCTACTCTCCCTCCAGGTACCGCCCGACTGAGTCCTGCCTGCGCTCGGGGCCAGGCCGGACTCACTCACCCGGGCCCCGCACTCCCCTGCGTCTCCCGGGCCTCCCTCTGCCACCGTTTTCCCCCCTCCCCCTCTGGTCACCCTGGGGGCGGAGTCGGGGCGGGGACTTTGGGGAAGGGGCGGAGTTGGGTGGGGCCGGGGGCGGAGTTGGGGCGGGACTTTGGGGAAGGGGCAGAGTTGGGGCGGGGCCGGGGGCGGAGTTGGGGCGGGGCCGGGGCCCCGTGGAGTGTCCTCTTTTTGCAGGATTGAAATATGGTAACCCTATGCATGCCCAGCAGCCACAGCAGATCATGCCCAGAAGGGTGGGGGAAAAACAAGCAGCTGTCAGAAAGAAGGGGGAGAGACTGAGGACAACATTGTAGTCTACACTAGCCAGGGAATTATGCCCAGCTAGGCAGAACAGGGTCAGTAATGAACCTGGCTAACAGGGTTGTACTGTCATGTAGACAGGGCCTAACTGGACACTGTAAACAAGGGTTACACTGGAAAAGAAAAAATTTCCATTTGACTTCTTACCCATAGGTAACCAGGCAGAATGCAGCTTCAAGAGACAACATCTGCCTGAGGGCTCAGCCTCTAAATATGCCCTTTACTGTTGAGGTGTCAGATCCTTCAAGCCTTTATCCACCTGCCCTTTAAACTCCCTGTCAACAGAGAAAAGGCTGCACTTTATTACTCCTCTTGTTTGAAGGCTTTAGTAAAACATGCAAGAAAAGACCTTTGCTGTCTCTGGGGAGATTGCTATCGGAGTCTTGGATTATGAAACAGTCCCATAAATGATCTTATTCAGCAGTTGAAGGAGCAACCACCCACTCTAAGATCATTAGATAGCCAAAGGACATGTTGATTTTCTTCCAATCTTTTGGTCTCCTTCTGACATTCAGAAATCCTCCATTTAAGGTTTATATTAAAAATTTCTGCCAAGATTCTCTGTGTGCACATTTGTGTGTGCATTGGGAAACGTGGATTCAATTTGTGCATGTAAATCCAAGCTTTGGTGAGTACAAAAACAAACCTGGAAGACTTTTGGTGCGCCAGCGGGGACATCTTAAGAGGCTGCTTTTGAAAAAGTCTCATAAAATCAGGTCAATGGGCCATTCAAAACATAGATGAATTTGCTGCTTTGGCCTTATTGAGAACATCTCTTATAAGCTTTTTAAGAGGAAAAGATTTACAAGAATCAATGGTCTCCTGCATTTCTGCCAAAGATTTAATTATCCGTCATATTGGTTAGACCACAGGCCTGCTTCCCATTAATTTATACCATTCATTAAATTCTTCCTTTCAATTGTTCAAACATATACAAACAATCAGACTGAAATTCATTGGTGCAAATTACATTATAACAAAATTGTTAGAAAATGTTTTAAGATATTAAAAATAAAAGCAAACCCCCATAATTTAACCCTTGTCTGAGCTTCAACCCTCAAAGAACGGATTTTAAATCAGTGTTTATAATCAGTTATTTAGTCGTGTATAGATACTCCAACCAAGATCAAAGCTCCATTGTACCAGGCACTATACCAACACATAGTAAGAACCAGTCCTTGCGCCAAAGAGCTTACAATCCAAACAGACAAGATAAAGAGTGAGAGGGGAAATGGAGGCAAAGATACTTGCCCAAGGTTGCTGGTAGATCTGGGAACAGAACCCAGGTCTTGTCACGCCCAGGCTACTGCACTGTTTACTAAACCACACTGCTTTTCTATCTTTTGTACTAATGTTGATAGATTTTCTCTGGGCTTTCATATCCTTTTGTTCTTACACAAAGCGAAATTAACTATTTATTTTGTTGCTTCACTGAACCTGGACCAGATGATAAAGGCCAAAATTTTCAAACTCAGGTACCTTAAACTCAGGCATCTAAAGCCATATTTAGGCATTCAGAACTCCTGCTTAAGTCACTGGGAGTTGTGGGTTCCTAGCATCTTTGAAAAATCCCATCACTTTCATTTAGATTCTTACATATGGATTTAGGTGCCTAGTGTTAGTCATCCAAGTTTGGAAACTTTTTCCATTTGGTATTTTCCCTGCTCTCTGATGGGACAACTGAAGCTTTTAAATGAGAGAATAATGAATGGTGAATGTAGGAGGAAAAATGAACAGGTAGTGATAGGGGTACTTGCATAGGAATTGGGAGATGCAGGTTCAGTTCTCTGGTCTGCCACAGGCTTCCTGTGTGAACTTGGCATGTTGCTTTACTTCTCTCTCAATTCCTCATCTGCTGCTTACAAACAGGGAAGAATTGGTAGGGGAAGTAGAAGTGGGTGGCAACCTGGGAGGCAGTGACCATGAGATGCTTGAGTTCAGGATCCTGACACAAGGAAGAAAGGAGAGCAGCAGAATACAGACCCTGGACTTCAGAAAAGCAGACATTGACTCTCTCAGGGAACTGATGGGCAGGATCCCCTGGGAGAATAACATGAGGGGGAAAGGAGTCCAGGAGAGCTGGCTGTATTTTAAAGAAGCTTTATTGAGGGCGCAGGAACAAACTATCCCAAAGTGCAGAAATAATAGCAAATAGGGCAGGCGACCAGCTTGGCTTAACAGTGAAATCTTTGGTGAGTTTAAACTCAAAAAGGAAGCTTACAAGAAGTGAAAATTTGGACAGATGACTAGGGAGGAGTATAAAAACATTGTTAGAGCATGCAGGGGTGTAATCAGGAAGGCCAAGGCACAATTGGAATTGCAGCTAGCAAGGGATGTGAATGGTAACAAGAAGGGTTTCTACAGGTATGTTAGCAACAAGAAGGTGGTCAGGGAAAGTGTGGGACCCTTACTGAATGGGGGAGGAAACATAGTGACAGATGATGTGGAAAAAGCTGAAGTACTCAATGCTTTTTTTGCGTCGGTCTTCACAGACAAGGTCAGCTCCCAGACTGCTGCACTGGGCAGCACATTATGGGGAGGAGATGAACAGCCCTCAGTGATGAAAGAACAGGTTGAGGACTATTTAGAAAAGCTGGACGTGCAGATGGGTCCATAGGTCCAGATGTAATGCATCCAAGGGTGCTGAGGGAGTTGGCTGATGTGATTGCAGAGCCACTGGCCATTATCTTTGAAAATTCATGGCAATCAGGGGAGGTCCCAGGCGATTGGAAAAAGGCAAATATAGTGCCCATATTTAATAAAGGGAAGAAAGAGAACCCGGGGAACTACAGGCCAGTCAGCCTCACTTCAGTCCCTGGCAAAATCATGGAGCAGGTCCTCACGGAATCCATTTTGAAGCTCTTGGAGGAGAGGAAGGTGATCAGGAACAGTCAACATGGATTCACCAAGGGCAAGTCATGCCTGACCAACCTGATTGCCTTCTATAATGAGGTAACTGGCTCTGTGGATATGGGGAAAGCGGGGGACGTGATATATTTTGACTTTAGCAAAGCTTTTGATACGGTCTCCCACAGTATTCTTGTATTCAAGTATTCTTGCAAGCAAGTTAAAAAAGTATGGATTGGATGAATGGACTATAAGGTGGATAGAAAGCTGGCTAGATTGTCGGGCTCAACGGGTAGGGATCAATGGCTCGATGTTTAGTTGGCAGCTGGTATCAAGCAGAGTGCCCCAGGGTTCGGTCCTGGGGCCGGTTTTGTTCAACACCTTTATTAATGATCTGGATGATGGGATGAATTGCACCCTCAGCAAGTTTGCAGATGACACTAAGCTGTGGGGAGAAGTAGATATGCTGGAGGGTAGAGATAGGGTCCAGAGTGACCTAGACAGATTGGAGGATTGGGCCAAAAGAAATCTGATGAGGTTCAACAAGGACAAGTGCAGAGTCCTGCACTTAGGAAAGAAGAATCCCATGCACCACTGTAGGCTGGGGACTGACTGGCTAAACAGCAGTTCTGCAGAAAAGGACCTGGGGATTACAGTGGATGAGAAGTGTGCCCTTGTTGCCAAGAAGGCTAATGGCATATTGGGCTGCATTAGTAGGAGCATTGCCAGCAGATCGAGGGAAGTGATTATTCCCCTCTATTCGGCACTGGTGAGGCCACACCTGGAGTATTGCATCCAGTTTTGGTCCCCCCACTACAGAAGGGATGTGGAAAAATTGGAGAGAGTCCAGAGGAGGGCAACAAAAATGATTAGGGGGCTGGGGCACATGACTTACCAGGAGAGGCTGCGGGAACTGGGGTTATTTAGTCTGCAGAAGAGAAGAGTGAGGGGGGATTTGATAGCAGACTTCAACTACCTGAAGGGGGGGTTCCAAAGAGGATGGATCTAGGCTGTTCTCAGTGGTGGCAGATGACAGAACAAGGAGCAATGGTCTCAAGTTGCAGTGCGGGAGGTCTAGGTTGGATATTAGGAAACACTATTTTACTAGGAGGGTCGTGAAGCACTGGAATGAGTTACCTAGGGAGGTGGTGGAATCTCCATCCTTAGAGGTTTTTAAGGCCCAGCTTGACAAAGCCCTGGCTGGGTTGATTTAGTTGGGGTTGGTCCTGCTTTGAGCAGGGGATTGGACTAGATGACCTCCTGAGGTCTTTTCCAACCCTAATATTCTATGATTCTATGACAATGATAGTGTAGTCCTATTTCAGGGGTGTTGTGAGGACATATGTATTAAAGATTGTGGGTGTGACACTATGCACCACAGTATTCACACCCTACACACTGATGTAATAATCTTTGAACAAAATATGCCTTGTGAGGTATTATTTGAAAACTAATAACTCACTGATCATTAATATTATTGTGTAATATATGTACATAGTGGGTATTAAGAGTTATAAATCTATGCTGGAATTATAACTAAAGAGTGTGTAAAGCAGGTATGTCAGGAGGGAGTTGTTAAACAGGTCTATGTTAAACAAAGGAATGTGTTCATGTCAATTTACAAATAAGCAGTAAACAGACCATGAAGCTAACAAGGGATGGAGGTAAACCTTAGATTAACAAGTGTGGGAGAAGACAGAATGGCGTATACACGCAGCAGGAGAGAGAAGCTTGGTCTGGGTTTTATTTTTCAGAAGAATCCATATAAAAGGTTTACCAGTCTATAAAGATGACAGGGGGCAGGGGATGCTTGAACCAGCGATTAATATCATTGTAAAAAGTATATATCAATACTATTGGAAGAATTCTGAATACTCACACGTTTTAAAATGTGTGTCCAAGCAACGGAAGGAACATTTCCCACCCAGACCGGAGGGGAAACAGCTATCTACCTGTTTTCTATGTCAATTAAGCATGGTGGAATCAAAACAATGGAAGCCCCATTTACATACAGGGGGATGGGAAGCCCACAGGAAGGAAAGAACAGCATGAGGTCATCCTGCCTCTTGAAACAAGTTAATTGAACTTTGAAAGATAAAAGCAAGGGCAGAAGCCATATTTGGCATCCATCACAAGACAGACATGAGGAAACACAGCTCTTGCAAGCTGAGAAAGATGGATCTCCTTCAACCAAGGGGCGGTTGAAGTTTCTGGAACTGAATATAGGTGAGAAACTTGCTAAGGTAAAGATTTTGCACCTACGACGACAAGGGAAGCCTTGTACTTTTCTGGAAGGTCCTGACTGTGGGAAAGTCAGCCATGTTTGCAAAAAAGAATAAGTGGTGAGAGAAACCAGCTTGAACAAAGCCTGTATCTTGCTAGATTAAGTTTTAGAATTTTAGAAGCATATTTTGGTTTGTTTTACCTGTAACTCTTTCTATCTTCATTCCTTATATGTGAACTCACTTAATCCTATGTATATTTTGTCAATAAATGTATTTCATTTTTACCATAAACCAACTCAGTGCTGTGTTTAAAGGGAACGGTGTGTTCACCCCAGTTAAATTAAGCTGTGATGTGCTTTGTGTTTTTAGAGGAAAAAACAAATCATAATTTCTCTGAACGATCCAGGAGAGGGCTGGACAGTACAAAACATGCAGTTTGGGGAAATTCTGGAACTGGGAGTGTGTTGGTGTCACCCTGCAAGTAGTAACCCAGGCTGGTGGAAGCTTGAGTGGGGCTGTAGACAGACTGCTGGGGTCAGAACTGTTGAACCAAGGCTGTCTGGCACACAGTCACTCAGGGTGTGACCTGCATGCTGGTAGGCTAGTCCTGAGCAGCCCAGGATGGGAGCTATACCAGCAAAGCATTGTGAGGCACCCCAGGTTATAGGACAGGTGGTGACACAACCCCTCACTGGTTTGGATTGCACCCTGGAATGTGACAGTGGGACACTCAGATACCATAGTAATGGGGTCATGTCTGGAAAATAAAAACAGATGGACAAAGAGGTGAAGTGACTCACATCATGCAACTGGTCAGAGGCAGAGCAGAGGATGGTGAAATCCTGGCCCTGTTGAAATCAACCATGGTTTTGTCATTGACTTCAACAGAGCCAAGATTTCACCCAAGGTCTGTTGACTCCCACTCCTTTGCTTTAATCACCACCCCACACTGTTTGTAGTTCCCATTCTGCAAGAGCTGAGTTTGCATTTTTCTTAGTTCAGTAGAAGCTACAGGGTTTTGTCTCCTCAGTGACTGATCTGCTCCCCATCTGTTTTAAGCTAAATATCATTCAGTTACTGTTGTTTGCTAACTCTTCATTGACACACAACTGTTCACACAGCACAGCACTCATGCACCCACATATTCATTCACTGCATCATTTTAAAACCAATATAAAAGACTTCTGTTTCAATTTCAGCTATTCATTTTCTTTTTTGTTTGTTTTCAGAAACCTCTAAAATGGAATAATACTGAAATTAATCCTAAATGACTGGAAAACTGCATATATTATGTAATTAGATCATCCACAACTACAATAACAGATGAATCATGAAAGAAACACCGTCTTCCTTCTGTCTCATGCATCCAAGGTTGCAATTCAACTACACCAAGCCCCTGAGAAACTAAACTACTTTCACAATCATAAATAAAAAGTCATGCACGCTAATGGTTCCCTTTGTAAATATGTATTCACAAATTCATATAATTATGCCAATTAGGATCCAGTTTTGCCTTCTCAGTGCACCCAAAACACCCATTGATTTCCTAGGCCACTGTAGGGCACTTGCTCCAGGCCAATTCCTTATTCTAAAGTGTCCTATAATTGCAAATGTTTTGGGGAGAGAGGCTAAAGTAATTCCTCATTTAATTAAACAATTGCAAATGCTCCAGGTTGAGCTTCAAGTATGGTGTACTCAAAATTACCAAGGGTCAGATTCAGCCACCCTTTCTGGTGCTGTGTAGTATCTTACTGTGCAAGTAGTACCTTTGCTTCATGAGTAATCCCACTGAAATCAATGCAACTGCTCACAGAGTAAAATACTACCCAGTGGGACTAAGGGTGGCTGAACCTGGCACAAAGTAAATCAGAGTATTTTGGGTTAGATTGTATCCATACTGGGGATAGGAAGGGCTGATCTAGTGGGGTCTGAGTAGGAGCCACTAAGAATCATAGCCTCTTTGTTCAGGAAGAGATAGTTGCTCAGTCCGGGCGTAATTTGCGGAAAAGAGAACAAGGAAGCATGGGGAGGGGTGAGTGCAGGTGGAGTCATGTCTCCGTCCTCCCTGTGCATTGTGAGGAGGGAGCATACTGCACTTTTAAAAAGTTATGCAGAAAATTGCTCTCCCATCCACACCCAACCACAACTGGGTCAGTGCATCTTCACACAACCTTTCAATGGGCTGTGCCAAACAGGAGCCATTAGGTCTTGATTAATGCTCCACCTGTTAAAGAGCATAGCAGATTTTTCATATTTTAAAAAAAATTGCTTTAAAATGTTTTCCTTTTTAAAAATATTTTTGAAAAATGAAAAATAAGTGGTTAGACAGTTCCATGAGAGGTGAAGGGTTTCCTGGATGCAAAACCTACCTGACGAGCATCTGAGGTACATTCATTGGTGCCCTACCACTATCCTCCTTAGTATTGTGGAAATAGCAATTATGGTGGGTATTTCTGCTTATTTAGATGAGGATGCTTTTAAATCTAGCTGTGAATGTATGAGCAGTGCTGATATGGGAAACATACAGTCTGTACTCTCATATTACAAAGCAACGAAGCACCAAAAATGCCTACATCTTTTCTCTGTAAATATTTTTAAAGAAAAAATCCCTACGATATATAGTATACCCTGAATTGCTGATAGGAAATCCATGGAATAGTTAGTTACCTCTATGGTAAATTCATTTAGGATTTCTTTGCACTGTTTTACATTAATTTAATTAGGGTAAATCCTTTTCCTTACTATAACCATTGTCTAAATTAGTCCAATTACTAAACAGTACTTTGTATGCACATGTTTTTATGCAAGATTCGGCATATAAATAGTTAATGAGGGATAGTTTTGTATGTGTGTCTATTGTATGTATGCACCCACCTTGTCTGTATATTGTATACATAGGATTAATTGGGTAATGTGGCCTGTGAATATATTGATATGCCTCTTTGAATAGATTGCACAAAAAACAATATTTCTCTTTTTAGTAGGTGAAAACAGTCCAGCTTGTAACATTGGCAAACCCAGTCTTCTGCATAAATAAATGTAGTTCATGCTGTATTTTACTAGGTTATTGTGTGTATGATGTTGCCATTCAGTAGGTGGTTTACCGATGATAAGGGATCCATTACTACCAAACTCTCCTTTAGCTCAAGTGGCAGAGGTCTGTGTTTTTGGAGCTACAAGGACGAATATAATAAAGCTCAAGCCTGTAAGTTGCTAAGCTCCTCCTATGAGGTGTTGAGCACCCTCAACTGTTGTGTATGCTCAACTTATCATAGAATCAAGCTGTTATTGTGACAATCGTAGGTTTATTTCACAGCACACTAATATATATACTGTGGTCTCTTTTGTAAAAATGAAGTCTCTGTGGTATTAGCCCTTACTATAGCACAGGGGTTGGCAGCCTTCGGCACGCAGCCCATCAGGGTAATCTGCTGGCGGGCCGCGAGACATTTTGTTTAGGTTGACCGTCTGCAGGCATGGCCCCCTGCAGCTCCAAGTGGCCACGGTTTGCCGTTCCCAGCCAATGGGAGCTGCAGGAAGCGGCAGCCAGACGTTAAATAATAAAATAGTTGCCTTGTAAATGATTGGCATAATCCCTCACACATATATGCTAGCTTAAAGGCTTAATTTATTTATTGTTAATGAGCATTTCCTTCCACTGCACTCTTATTAAGGGCTTATCCGCACATGGAGTTATTCAGAAACAGCCACTCCCGAATAACTCTACATGCAGACGCCTTTATTCAGGAATAGGAATGCCTTGGTCCTGTTTGGCTTAACCCAGAAAGTGCATTAAACAAAACAGGGGCAGGACAGCCTTATTTTGGAATAAGAGTGTCCGCACATAGAGTTATTGTGTAGACAAGCCCCTAGTGAGACAGCATTTCCATGTGGATAATCAACATGCACACTTTCCATATGTTCTGCCTTTGTGCTTGGAGAAGATAAGAAAAACCTTTCTCCCAGCATTCTTCTTTAAACGCCAAAAAGCCTTCTGTTTAAATACAATGTGCTCCTTCTTTGTGTCAGACAAATCCTTATCTGCAACACTCTTGCCAAGGAGTGCTGCTGTTGATGCTTGTTATCGCTCCACTTAATGCATTTGATGCTTTAGTTACCTCTTATGTCTGCCCAAGTGCTATTTTAAATTTTTGCTTTGATGCCGCTCTTTGCAAGTATCTGACAAGGTGTTAAATACTTGCAGTCTTCAAAGAGAAACCAAGTTTGCTTTCAAAGATTAGAAGTGGGGTGTAATGTTTGTTTGTTTGTGTGGGGAAGGGTGGGGGGGATTGCTGGGCTGCTGGCCTCTCTCCCAAAGCTCAGGAAGGACTAGCACCATGCCAAGAGTCTGTTCAGGCCCTTCCTTCAGGGTACTGTTTAATCTTTAAACACAAAATTCACCAACAAACACAAAGACAAGGCAGGTGCTCAGAAGCCCTTTGTTTCTCTCTTTACCTCACCCCCCTTCACTTCCAGGGTCTGCCACAGAACAGGAGCCAAACTCGGTCCTGCAGCAACCCCTTCAGCTGAGCTTGTTCAGTCCTTTACAAGAATCCCCTGACCCCTTTCCCTCCACCAGGCCCAAACACCCATTCTTAAAGGGGTTTGGCCTAACAATAGGGCTGGTTGACCTCATGCGTCTTGGCCCTTAAAGTGGGTGACCATCAGGAATACTTTTGTGTTTTCCAGTGATAGATTTGCCTATTTGGCTCTTCCCCCTTGGGTTTCATATCTTCTCTCTCTGTCTCCACAGGATACCCTTTCCTGTGTAGCCCTTACTTCCTCTGATGAAGAAAGATGAAAAGAGTTAAATCAATATGTGGAATATGGCCAAATGGTGACTCAGTCCCTGATCCTGCAAAGACTAACGCACATGTTTGTCTTTATGCCTGTGAGTTCACCTGGATGTGGGAATGTCTGCAGCTGCCAGTTCAGGCTTAGCCTCAGATAAGCAATAGAACTGGCCTTTGCTATTTTTGAAAGTCTTGAGAAACAAATTTTTGTGTCCTCCCTTTCACATAAACATATGTGATTCCCTCATAATCCCACAAAGGCTGATTAAAGGTTCTAGGAAGAGTTAGTGAGATGATTCTATGCAGTACACTATATTTAAATAACTAATATCTAACCTAAATCTCCTTTGCCACAGATTAAGACAATTACTTCTTGTTTTTCCTTCAGTAGACATGGAGAGCAATTGATCACAGTCTTCTTTATAACAGCCCTTAACATGTTTGAAGACTTTTGTAAGGTCCCACCTGGCTTCTTTTCTCAAGACTAAACATGCCCAGTTTTTTAATCTTTCCTCATAGCTCAGGTTTTCTAAACCTTTTATCATTTCTGTTGCTCTTTCCTAAAGTGTGGTGCCCAGAATTGGACACAGTACTCCACCTGAGGCCTCACCAGTGCTGACTAGAAAGGGACAATTAGCTCCTGTGTTTATTCAACACTCCTGTTAATACACCCCAGAATGATATTCACCTTTTTTGCAACTGCATCACATTGTTGACTCATATTTAATTTGTGATCCACTATACCTTCAAGCTTCTGTTCAACAGTACTACCACCCTGTCAGTCCCCATTTTATAATTGTGTATTTGATTTTTCCTTTCTAAGTGTAGTACTTTGCATTTGTCTTTATTGACTTTCACCTTGTTGATTTCATACCAATTCATCAAGGTCGTTTTTAATTCTAATCCTGTCCTCCAAAGTGTTTGCAACCCCTCCCAGCTTGGTGTCTATAAATTTTATAAACATACTCTCCACTCCATTATCAAAGTCATTATTGAAAATATTGACTAGTAGAGGATCCAGAACTGACCCCTGCACGGGATCAGTAGATACACCCTCCTAGTTTGACAGCAAACCATTGATAACTACCGTGAGTGTGGTGTTTTAACCAGTTGTACACCCACCTTACTGTAATTTCATTTAGAACACCTTTCCCTAGTTTGCTTAGGAGAGGTGAAATCCTGCTACTTGTTCCTTTCAGTTATGGTAATCATGTTACATCTATTTATATTTTCCAATCTAATTTAGCAAGAAAAAGAGCTACATTTGAATGTAGCTTCTTTCTTTCTTTCTTTCTTCAGAAAATGAGGTTTGCTGAGTCTGATTCCAGAGGACAGCTTGTACAAGCTCCTTTCACCCCATCCCACAGCCTCCTTCTTCTCATCAGTCGGTATATACCCAAAAAAGTGATATTTGCTCTTTTTTTGCACTGTTGAGGATTGTTTGCAGAGGGAGCTGAGAAACAGTGTTAAAGATTTCCCACAACCACTGTGACTTCTGTCCTGCTGGAGGCCATGGATCAGGAATAGGACAGTTTTAAATATATATTTTAAGGGAAATACATTTTTGAACTAAACTTTATACTCAAAGTAAGCCATTTTTTGTCACAAACATGAACACCTAAAATCAGAAAATACTGTAGAAAGCTAAACCCAAAAAGCATAACAATGAGCCAAATTCTGAGGGCTGCCTGACTAGTCCTTACTCAGGCAAACCTCTTTGCCTTCAGTGAGAATTTCACCAGAGAAACCACAGACTAAAAAGGAAATAAAGATTTGACCCAGTAAGGATACCCTCTTCAAAGTAAGTCAGTGGGGCTTAATATGGATGCAGGGATCTATCTATACAGAACTCATTGCAGGATCGGGACCTAACTATTGTCAGTTCAAATTTGTGAGCACCCAACAATTATTTTTTGAAAAAGAGGAATTGTTCAACTCAACTTTGTTTTTCAAAGTGCTGAAATTGCTGATTGCCATTTAAAAATTATTAATTAATGTAATCAATGTATGTAAAGAAGTGACTGGTTTTTTAAAATATATTCTACAAATACATTCTAATTGCAATATGTAGTTATGCTCCTTGTTGATTTGTCTGGACATTTGTGTTGTCAGCTCTTCTTTTTCCCAAAGACTCCATGGGGTGTAGCTAATTTAAACACAGAAAAGGTCAAAATCTTGTTTTCAAACTTTTCTTGAACACAATTAGCTTAATATTTTAACAGCTGGAAACTATAGTAATTACTTTTAGATTATACACAAAATCTGTTGAAGTATAATTACTCTGATCTATGAACCAGGTAATTAAGGTAAAAACTCCTTAGACATTTTCTTAGACCTCATTAACGCATTTCTTTTGAAAATGCTTGGATAATGACAGGACTCATTAAAGCACATTAAAAGTTTATCCATAAAATGACACTGAGTAATTTAAATCTTTATCCTGGGACATTAAAGGACAGAATGACATTGAACTGCTCAATGTACTGACAATTCTTTCTTGATTTCCAGTACTGATTTCATACAAATTTGGGGGGAAACTGGCCAATCAAACTGAGCAAGTGGCAAGGGTGAATCCTCACCCAGTTGCAACTGAGTCTGCAAGAGCCATTTTATAGTGGAAAAGGGCTGAAGCTCGGGTTAGGATCTCATCTGGTGTCTCCGGCAAAGATTTTGCCTTTTGTACATGAGCCAGGAGATGATGTTCCAGTCAGATGTCAGATGTTGACTATGGGTTGCTAGTAGGTTATCCATTCTATATGATTATGGGCTTGATATATTACTCATCAATGTAGTTATGGCAAGACACACAATTACATTAGGAGCATTGAAAAAGCTTCAGAAAACATGGTGAGACATGTTTCTATTACATTATGTAGTATTTAGAAGGCAGGAGTGGTATAACGATATATTTTGTAGATTTTTAGACTTGAAATTAATGTCCTGAACATAATACCAAACAATCCTTTTTGCTTACTAACGAATGATGTGTTGAATAAAAGATAATCAAAGTGTGTTGCCTTTCATTTTTCATTATATAAAAACATCCGCATATTAGGAATTTTTTCAAAAAATTTTTAACAAAAAAACAGGCTCAGCTCAATCTCTAAGCTGCTCTGCAGGAAAGTCGCTCACAACTTTTTTGTTAGCTGTTGACGTGGAGCTATTCAAAATGCAGGAACAGATTTTGCCCACTCAAATGGTACAATGGGCTATTTTTTAGGGTTGAGCTCATGGATTAATAGGTAAAATAAATGAAATACTCAAAGTCTTTGTTGGTCCTCAAGCAGTAGCTGGATTATGCCAGAGAATAATATCAATGGGAGCTACAGCTGTCTGGCACCATTTAGGATTTGACTCCATGTTATGAACTGCGGTGTTTACATGATGCAATGCAGCAGATAGACGATTCATCTGATCCGTATGTAAATTGAAAAGGCTGGAAGTTTCAAACCTAATTGCTGCTGTCTTTTAAAATCTGGAATCTGCGGTAGCAGAGAAATACCAATTCAGTGCATCATCTTTGGATCACAGATTCAAAGAGCAGTTCTAGCTGATTGTCCTGAGACCATCAGAGACCAGACAAATTACATATTTAGCAAGACCATTGAATACAGAAAAAAAGACACAGTCAGACTGTAATTGGGCTTTATTTAATTTTTTATTAATTATACATTTGTTTATAATGCAAATTAACTGAGTTCTCATTTATAATTTTAGCAAGACATTTTAATTACATGCAAATGAGATAAATAAGGACTAATTAAGAAAATTAGGCATAATGATATTGATTCAATAGGAGAGAGAGGCACTAACATGGCTACTTAGGAAATCCTGCTTCAAGGAGTTAACGTGACCAGGTCACCCGATATACTGTGGGTTAAATAGTTGAATCAATCAGGCTCATGTTGGAACTGTTTTTAAGACACGAAGTGCTATCAAAATAGCTCAGCTCAAATCATTATATATTCCCACTGGATCAAACTCCAGGGCCTGTAACCAAGTTTTCAATAAGACTTCGGACCACTGCCCTTCCTGCTTCAGTAGACATAGCCATTCTCCACAGCAGCAGCAAGGTTCCACCTTGGAAAGAAACAAACAAACAAAAAATGCTACCGTAAAATCAATGCCACTACAAAGGAGTAGGCTGAGCTTTCCGGGGCAAGGAGGCCATCAGGTGCAAGACACCTCTGCTGAAACCTACTGCAAAAGTGTGAATAGTGGAAGGTAACATGTACAAAACAGAAGTGGGCCGCCTGCATAATAATCACTTAAAACTATATATGGAGACAGAAACTGGTCTGTCAAGTTAGGGTGTTGTGGTAGTGATAAACAACTAGGTAAGTTCTCTCATCACCTCTGTGGCAAGAAAAGATGATCAAATATAGATGTTGACATCTTGTTTTGACAAATACGCATAGCTTCTGTGTTTAAAAGACAATGTGCTAGCAGTTATGATCACACACTTTTTAATTTTTCTTTTAAAATCCATCCAGGTTTTGCACCACTGCCAAGCTGAGGCTTCAAAGAGTGATCAAGCCAACGGGGGACACTAATGCTTCCATACAGACAATAGGTTATTCCAGCTGACAGTGTGTATGTTGGGGTTCAGAAACCATACACTAACACCAATATACAGAGCATTCATTCTTTCCTGCTGCCCTCTGAGAGAACAGGTGGAAAGGAGTGCTATAAAAAGGCAGCTCTCGGATACCACAGTGATGGGTATAGTATAAAAACCTAAATGGAACTGGTGCTCCTGAATGATGGCATCAAGCAGGAGCTAACGAATGGGGGTGTGGGGGGGAGAGCTCTATAAATATAGCTTCCTGCTAGTTAGAGGAGACTAGAGGACAGTAGGGAACAGCTTAAACTAGGCACCTGGAAGACAGATGTTTACACCAGGTTGGAAAAGATGGTTATGGCTGAGAATGGCTGGGTTTTATTGCCTGTTTGCCTAAAACTCCTTGTACTTTGTTTCAAATCTCTACAACTTGTGGCAATAAAAATGTATCTAGCACAAGATGTTTATGTGGTGCTTCTTCACAAACACAGATTGAGACATGTCCCCTGCTCCAAAGAGCTTACGATCCAAGGGCCCAGTCCTGTGAGGTACCAAAACCCATCAAGTCCCATTGATGTCAGCCAGAGCAGAGGAGACTCAGTACCTCACAGGAAGTGCTCAACAGCCTGCTGAACCAGGGCTGAGAAATGACAAGACAAGAAAAGAAGATATAGGACAAAAGTTCAGTTCAGAGAGGATGAAGACTTGTTACTGGGACAGAGAACAAGCTCGATTTTGGGACAATGTCAATTTTAACTGAGAGTTCTGAAGGAGGAAGTAGGAGATGTGTCTAATCTCCCATTTGGGGGGAAGAAGACAAAGAGCTTCATCACCAGCTGTCGTCTAACATTATCCTACAATAGACTCTTCACAGTCAGGTTTCACACCCAGATAAAGCACTGGGATGATAGTAGACATGCTGATGCTCTCCTTTAGGTATGGATAATGGATAGGCACCCAGCCATGTACGGACACAGCTGAGTTTTCTGAGACACTTAATAGGATGGTGAGCTCTCCCTCTGATCTCTGGTGTCAAACAGATCACAGAGAGTGGAGATCTGCCTCTAGAGCACCCATTTGCAGAGTGCCAAAAGGGTCAGACTTTTCCCCCATGTTATTCAATGCAACCATTCACCCAGTTGGGGATGCTGTGATCTTGAGCAGTATGAATATACAGATACCACCCAACGCTACATCTCTTCCACATTGAACAGGGCAGCTGCTCCATCACCTAGCTTCCCCGATGTCTGAAGTAGATAAGCACCTGGATGAAGAGTAGCTGGCTGAAGCTTAATCCAGATAACATGGAGATGACAGTAGTGGCAAGAGCATAAACGTTTGAATGACTATCCAAAAGCACATTTCCCTCAGTAGAATGTGTCAAGTCCTTTAATCAAGTGGCATGACAGACTCAGGGTCCTTTTGGACTGTTCAAACTCCTGGACACCCAAATGGCATCAGTGGCTAGAAATCCCCTACATCATCTTTGGCTGGCAAGGCACTTTCACCCCATCCGTGTCAGAGGTGGAGCTGGCCATAGTGATCTATACTGTGGTCAATTCCAGGCTTGCTTTCACTAAAACCTGGAGTTAAAAGTGAAGGTCAGCAACTTGCCACAGCCTGTCATCTAAGTTTTAGTGATGAGGAAACAACATTTCAGTGCTCCAGTCACTGCAGCGGCTCCAATCCCAACTCAGATGCAATTTAAAGTCCTAATCCTGGTTCTCAAACCACTCAGTGGGCCTCAAGTATTTCAGGGTAGATTGGCAGGTGTCCCTAGCTACAGAAGCCCTTTCCAAGCAGACATCAGACTGACCATGGCTGTCCTCATCTATACAATTAAACATAAGACTCATTCCTATACAATAACTATTGTACAGATAGCCAATTGGTAAAACAAATTCTTACCAAGCATACACTAATGGCATTACAGGAGGAAGGATAGAGAAGACAGTCTTACTGAGAGACCATTGTTTTATGTAAATTTGTTTGTGCTGAAGTTCCATGAAGACTGGCACATCTAAAAGAAAGATCTCTATAGATAATCCAGCTCTCACATTTATTCAGTGCTCTTTGAATACAAGTTCTGTGGCCTTTCTGAAAGTTTCCTGTGAGAAGGCCTTTACACCAAGAAATCTTTCTTACAGCTCTCAAAGAAGCATCAGAATGACACAAGCACATACTGAATTCACAAATCAGAGAGCCTGTCACAGTAACAATTTTGACATGTGTTCTGTATTATTGTACATGAATACTGTATGGGTTAAAGATTTCTTTCAGACTTATTATATAATATCCTTATTTTACAATATCACTATACTTATACTGTACTGTATTTTCACTTCAAGATGCCGACTTCTTTTCCTAAATAAGGGAAACTAAATAAAGAGATTTAAGCAGTGTAACTGTAAATGAACTGGAACTGTAGGAGCTTGTAGTTCTAAACATTGCCATCAGATGATGCTGTATAACTTATTTTACAGCTTTCATGTTAACTTTAAAAAAGACTAGAATTTATATGACACCTTTGATAATTGGGAAAAAGCATGATGTCAGTTGCTTAGGTGTATGTACGCACACACACACACAATCATCACAATGCCTAATCAAAGTTGTCTCCACACACTCTGTTGGTTGACCCATTTACCTGTGATTTTTTTTACTATACAGATGATGGATAAGGTGTAATATATACACATTATATGGGTGGCTCTTACCTGTCAATTCATCTGTTTTGTGAAGAACACAAAATGCGAGCAAGACTTTGTTCTGCTCTGGACTGAAGTCACTAATGAATGGGGCTTGATCACGTTCAGAAAGCATCCGCGGTGGTAAGAAAGCCTGGAAATAGTTTGTGTTCTGTAGATCTGCAGAAAAATGTGTAGCCGCAATGAAATCCACAGCATTAGCCCAGTTCTCCCCAAAACTTGCTTCGGGGCCAGAGACATATTTTAAGCTGAAAGAAATAAAAACTCAAAGTTAACAGGTAAATTAATCCTACCCAGAGCTCATTAATCTACCATTTATATTGCATTGCATCTAAAATGTAAGATGCCTTAATCCATAACTGACTTGTTGCTTTAAAGGACTGCATTAGTGAGACCAGCAATATGTGAAAGGGGTAGCAGGGAGAGCTTAGTCCCAATATCACTGTGCCTTAAGGGCTCCCCTGGCGCTCCTGCCTCAGTTTCCCTGGCAGTGCTACCTTGGTGTGCAAGTGAGCTGTTTGAAGTGCCATTGTGGAGCCTTTCAAGCACTGATGCCCAAACTAGAATATGGCCATGCAAACTTTAAAGAGCAGTGACATCTGGTCTCAGTAGTCTACCAATGAGAATTCTTGATATGTGTGACTAGTCTCCCTCATACCACTGAGGCATTATGACTAATAGAACTGTAGAATGCAAATTAGCAGTAGAGGAAGGGTGATGATTGGCTGAGTTACCTGAAGTCACAGTGGCCCTACTTAAGAGTTACCTGAGCCTGCCTGTTACTATATAATAATAAAAATGAAGTTAATATCTTAACTACAACCAAATTTAAATGTAGCCTTTGAACAGGATTTCAGTTTAATTTTAAATATAAGGAAATTTTGAAGTGCCTGTATTATTTTGTTGCTAAGATTATTTGGGACAAAGGAAAGACTGACACAGATGCTAAACTTCTTAAAGAACCACCCAGTTTTTAATTAATTCTGGCTCACAAACTAAGGAATAGATTTGCTTGTAAATTCTCAGAAAACCAGTGATGTACTCAGAGAATAAGCATTGCAAGTTTGGGGAGGATATGCTGTATATTTCATCCAAAAGAAATACATTGAATCCATACTTTACATGCAAAGTGGAACGCAGCCTTAATTATGGAGTCATGACCAGTGCCTCCATTATATAATTGTGTTTCTCTGATGGTTTGTACTAGGGCTGGCTGAAATTTTATCCTAGAATCATTTCTTTTTCAATAGAAAATGGCTTTTTGACTAAAACAAACATTTTTTGTAGAAAAGGTTTATTTTGGTTAAAATGTTCAGGCCTGTGATGGGCCCAAATCAGCTAATTAGGCTGCAAGCAAGGGAGCTTTAGGCTGGAGGCAGCTAGTTAGAAGCTCAGCTGCGAGTGACCGGTGGGGCTTCTACAAAAGCCAGGAGGCTGGCAACAGAAGGGGCTGGTGCAAAAGGCTGCAGTCACTCCCCGGGAGGAGGAAGAAGTGTTTGGAGGCTGCAGAGACCTGGAGGCTGCAGTTGCTCCCTGGGACGATGGAGCCATGAATCTGGCAGACCCAGAGAAGGAAGGGAGAACCAGAATGTTAGGAAAGGGTTCAGGGAAATGTAGCAAGGTATTGGGGAGAACAGACATTGACTGCAGACTAGCAGGTGGGCCAGGGTTCCCTAACAAGCCACCCGGGAAGTGGCATTGGTAGGGCAGTGCATCGGAAGACTCCTTGAGCCTGTTTTGGAGAAGAGACTTCCCACCCGAGAAGGGGAAACCACGCTAGTGACCTAGCCAGAGGGCTGAGTCAAAAAGGGGACGCAACAGCTCCTGGAGCAAGGGGGGGGCTGCAGACAGAGACCAAGGTGGAAGGACAGCATGCAAATGCTGGAAGGGGCATCGGCCTGACCAAGTTAATCCCCAGAACTGCCAGCAGCTGGCATGATCCAGTGGTGAGTAGAGCAAACCCGTCACAAGGCCTTTGGGCAAAAATCCAAAAATGTTGAGTGAGTTTGTTTACATTTTTCAAGAAACTGAAAATTTTCCATGGGAAATTTCAGAAAAAACACATATTTTTCAAATTTTCCTGCTCTAACTCCTATATATGATGGCAGAAAGATTAGGGCTATGCATAGATGCAAGAATAATAATGTTCCAATGCTTGTTATTGTAAGGGCAGTGCTGCAGATTTCCTGCCAAGTTCACTCCCGTATATGGTTGATAGCATTGGTGGTATCATTTATCTAATTTGGTTTTGAGTTAGTATCATGACCCAAACAACAGAGTGGGAGTAAGACTTGAATGGATACCTAAAATAATACTAAGAACAACAATTAGCTCTTATATAGCACTTTAATCTGAAGATCTCAAAGTACTTTACAAAGGCAGTCAGTACCATTATCCCTATTTAACAGTAGGGAAACTGAGGTACAGAGCAAACTAGGGGAAAGAGTAAATTAGAGTGTGCACAGGATGAAATAATGGTGAATATGGAGGCAGTAGATGAAAGGACTGGAGGAAGTCACTCATGAACTCTCTTTAGGAGACTAATCCAAAACTTACTGAAGTTAAGTCCTGTTGAAATCAGTGGACTCTGAATCAGGCCCATCTTCTTCTCATGTCCTTCCACTGAAGTCATAGGTTTTTCCAGTATTAGGCACATAATATGGCCTGGCCTGTGGCCCTGGTAAGGTCTAGCAGGAGCTGGCAGACCAACAGATGTTCCATGGTCTGTGTTTTCCCTCAGTCACATGTGTCTGGGTCACTGGAGTAGCCCCACTTCCACATATTGACTTTTGAGCAGTCAATTCTTGTTCAGAGGTGATTTAAACATCTCCAGGTCAACGAACCCTACTCTGTGCCTGTGAGAAGGTGTCCAGCAATGTCAATGTGCATTTTGACATCCTTGATAAGTATTTCTAGTCATATGTGCTACATTTCCAGATGTGTGGCAGTCAGTGATTTTTTTTAAGTAGTTCTGTTGCAGCAAAGAAGCTTTTCCATGATTTCAGGTGGCTCACTGCCACAGTATAGCCACATAACAGATGTCTGGTATAGTTGACCTGTTGTAATCATTCCGTTTTGTTTGTGACTGATCTCCTGATATCCAGTGGAGCAAGTCCAGCTAGCACATAAAGGCTGTTCACGTTTGTTGGTTTTAGACATCCTGTGATGTATGATCATCTGCCATTCAGAACAGGATCCAGCTTCTTTGCATGAGCTGATCTTTCCTACTCTGAATATGAGTATTTGGCTGTTGAATAGCAAAGTGCAAGTGCAGTGGCTCTTAGTGTTACTGGGTTGGCTCCCCATTTTGACTTTACAAGCTTCCTGAGTATGTTATTCTGTGTGCTAACTTTGCCTTTTATCTTCTCCACGTGTGTCTTGAAGAAGAGAGTGAGTTCTAGCATCACTCCTAGGTAGATAGTAGGCAAATTGTACCCCATTCCAGATGATGCTGAGTCATAGACTTTAAGGTCAGAAGGGACCATTATGATCATCTAGTCTGACCTCCTGCACAACACAGGCCACAGAATTTCACCGAACCCTCCTGTAATAAACCTCTAACCTATGTCTGAGCAATTGAAGTCCTCAAATCATGGTTTAAAGACTTCAAGGTGCAGAGAATCCTCCAGCAAGTGACTACTGGCCCCATGGTACCAACAATGGAAGAGACTCACCTGTGTTTTGGCTGGTTTGGTACACAATTGGTTCTTGGTGTAATAAACTGAGAGCCCAGACCTCGCCAATTTTAAAATAGCTTTAGATCTTGGCAAAATCCTTGGCTTGGGCAGTGACACATAGGTCATGGGCAGAGATACAACTTTTGTGCCGAGATGATTGATTGGTCATTCATGTAGATGTTGAAAAGTATTGGCAAGAGTCACATCCCCTGTGGTATGCCATTTTTCTGTTGCCATCATTCGTTCTGCTTCCTGCATAGTTTGATGTAAAAATGTCAGCTCTCTAAAAGAGATTGTATCAGTTGTTGGAAGTGGTGATCTTTTGTCATGTTCTATATTTTAGTATATTTTACTCAAGATACTTAAGTCGAAAGCAGACTGAGAAGAGTTACAAAGGAATCTCACAAAACAAGATGACTGGACAACAAAATGGCAGATGAAATTCAATGCTGATAAATGCGAAGTAGTGCACATAGGAAAACATGTTCGCTGAAAATATCCGCTCAATGTTCAGTGGCAGTCAAAAAAGCTAACAGAACGTTAGGAACTATTAGGAAAGGGATAGCTAATAAGACCGAAAATATAATAATGCCATTATATAAATCCATGGTATTCCCACACCTTAAATACTATGTGCAGTTCTTGACACCCCATCTCAAAAAAGATACATTAGAATTGGAAAAGGCACAGAGAAGGGCAACAAACATGATTAAGGGTATGGAACAGCTTCCGTATGAGGAGAGATTAAAAAGACAAGACTTTTCAGCTTGGAAAAGAGGGGACTAAAAGAGGATTTGATAGAGGTCTATAAAATCCTGAATGATGTGGAGAAAGTGAATAAGAAAGTGTTATTTCCTTCTTTGCATAACACAAGAACCAAAGGTCACCAATGAAATTATTAGGCAGCAGGTTTAAAACAAACAAAAAGGAAGTGCTACTTTACATAATACACAGTCAACCCATGGAACTCATTGCCAGGGGATGTTGTGAAGGCCAAAACTATAACAGGATGTAAAAAAGAATTAGATAAGTTCATGGAGGGTAGGTCCATCAGTGGCTATCAGCTAAGATTATCAGGGTTGCAACCCCATGCTCTGGGTATCCCTAGCCTCTGATGAGAAGCTGGGAGTGGACGACAAGGGATGGATCAGTTAATGATTGCCTGTTCTGTTCATTCCCTCTAGTGCACCTTGCATTGGCAACTATTGGAAGATAGGATACTGGGTTAGATGGACCATTGGTTTGATGCAGTATGGCCAGTTGTGTAGTAAGGAATCTTCGGTGATTCTCCGTGTCATTTGCTGCTGATAGAGCCTGTTACCATACGCTTTTCAAAGCTTGCTCTGGGATTAGTTGCTTTTCAACAAGTGGTGATAGGTGGTTTAAGATGAAATGCTCATATAGTTTGTAGAGGTGGCATAGCAGTAGTTATAGGCCTTAAGTTTTTCAGCTCCATTTCATCCTTCCCTGGCTTACGGGGTGCCATGGCACATGCTCACCTCCAGACATTAGGGACTTTATATGTGGCTGAGCATGTGTTAAACAACTTGAATAACCAGATCTTTGTTGCTGGTCAGAAGTATTTGATTTGTTCTTTGTGAATGTCATCTATACCAGCGGCTTTACCATTCTCTAGGATGTTCATTCCTGTATACACTGCCCCAAAATGATAAATCTCCTGGTCATCTTGCCACTTCAGCCATGTCTTAGGTTGTTTGGTGCCCTGCCATTTTCTAGAAGGAGTGTTCATGTTGCAGTCCCTGTCAGACTCTTTGAATATAAGAATCTTGCTGAACACGTACCACTACAATATAACTAAAGACTCAGGCGCATGATGAGCAAGCAAGAATATATTAAACCTTGCAAATATGGTGCCTACTAATGGACATGGAACTGGGGAATTATCCCCTTTTGACCCTACTTTTGCGGCTTTCTCTTACCTGTTTCTGAACTTTGGAACTGCATAAGCAATGGATGCTACATGCGCTTCCCATAAGTAATGCAATGCTTCATCTTTTTCTATTGAGAAGGAAGATGCTGTGGGCCTTTCAGATTTCTGTTCAGTGGATAATAGATACTAAAGCAAAAGCAGAACATAAAAATATTACCAGCGGAGAATATTTTTAAAAAAAATGCATAATACTGAGTTACTTGAAAAACAATTATTTTGAAAAATATGTTTTGTTAACTGGGGAAAATTGCTTTTAAATAGTTAGAATGTGGTGATGTTGCATATCGATTATAGCTTAATATTTGACATAAGGGGGAAAAAGATGATTAATAGATTTACAGGGTCAAGTCATGACCCCATTAAAGTTAATGAGATTTTGTCATTGATTTTGATGGAGCCAGGTCAAATCTAGAAGACACAATTGGGGGCGAGGGGGAAGGGAGGGAGAAGGGGTACCATTCTGATAATCTAGTATGCTCTTCTGCATAATACATAACATAGAATTTCACCCAGTAACTTATGCATCAGGCCTACAACTGGATGACACACATTGTAATTTGCTCCTAAAGTGGTGCTTTTTCTGACTCTGAAATAGTTGGATTTGCAACCTGAAAGCATTCTGTAATTTAAAATTGCTTTTTAAATGGATACATTTCATCACAGTTCCACTCTCCTTTTTAAAATATCAGAAACTGCTGCTAGAGTTGGGAAAAAAGTTTAGACTGAATTCTTCTATAGTTTGCTGTACCTACAGTGGCTGATTCGGCTGAGGATATCATTTCCAAGGGGAAGACAAGAAACAAACAAATCAACAATAAACAAAGGAGTTGGTACACATTGGATTACCTCTTACTGCTACAGTAAGTGGGCACTGATTTCTAAATTAAATTGTGCAGTGGCTTTAGTTGATTTTTTGGAATGTGGAGAGGTCCCAAGAAATGGTTAGGATATGTTGTTGTTTTTTAAAAAAAACCCGCTTCCCGTAGGTTCCCAATGTTGCCAAAACTTGTGGAGCTGAACTGGTATTAGCAGTAGTGGGGAATTTTTTTATTAAAAGGTCTTATTATAAACAAGAGTTCTGTGTTTTGACATGGAATTTTCCATGCTACAATCCTTGTCTTCTGGGTCTTACTTGTGCAATCTTCAGGGCCGCCCAGAGGGCGGGGCAAGTGGGGCAATTTGCCCCAGGCCCTGGGCCCTGCAGGGGCCCCCACGAGAATATAGTATTCTATAGTATTGCAACTTTTTTTTATGGAAGGGGCCCCCGAAATTGCTTTGCCCCAGGCCCCCTGAATCCCCTGGGCGGCCCTGGCAATCTTTTACACACTTTCAAGTGCATTGATATAGATTTTCAGGAAGTCTGAAAGAAAGTTAGCTGTAAAATGTATCATGCCATCTGTCTTTTAGGTTAGGATTATAATTTTAGTTCTTTGATTATAATCTTCTCAACATATTATTTCAGATGAATAAACTTAAAATATCTGTAATGACTGATCCAATCATACCCTTCAGCTCTCTGGTTCATCTGTCTAGTTTACCAAGAGAATTTTTGTTTTAGACTTTGAGTCTCTGATCACTGGACATTATAATACTTGCATTTCTGGCTGTTCACAATAAATCTGAGAGGCAGTCTAACTAAAGGAATCATTATTGAAACTTGGGATGGAGAAGAAACTGTCACTTCTCTTTTAGGGAAAAGGTGTGAAGTGAGAGGGAGAGACTGTGTACGTGTGCAAAAGAAGGTCTTTCTGGGTGAAACTTTCAACAACTCTCTTGACATTCAAAGAAGCAAAGGGATCATATAAAAGTGGAATAAGGGCATTTCTCAAGGAGAATATTCTGTATCACATTTCTGTTCTTTGTAAAGCCATAGCACAGCTCCCAGATTACTAGTATAAGCATTAGCATAACAATCTCTTGAGTCAGACTCCAAAACATAGAATTACTTTAAGTGAAGAAATGAAGCTACAAACCTTAAAAATTCTGGATGACATACTCCTCTCTAACTAGTTTTACATCACAGTAACTCCATTGGCCTCACTTGGATTTCTCCTAACTGATGCTGGTACTAATGAGATGTGAATCAGGCCCTCTGATTCTTAAAAAACATGAATAATAACTTTTAAAAGCAATGTTCTGGTATCATCTGTCACAAACGATGAACAACAAAAAAAAGATGATCTACCTCAAAATAAGCCTTCCATGCATCCATGACTTTTGGAATGTGGGAACGGCAGTCAGCAGCGCTGTAGCAGAAGTCTGCTCTTAGCTCTTCTGGTGGTAATATTTTTATCTCATGTTGCAACTGTCCAAAGAAACCAGCTTCCATGGCACCCAGAAATGGTATAATACTCAGGTAGTAATTCACAGCTATAACAACACATGAAAATAAAAAGAGATGACAGTTGCAAGTGAATGAAACGTGCCTACCTAGAGAAAACAGTGAGATTCTGCTGCCTCTGCTAATGTTTAAAATCACCAGTCATTTACACATGACAGTCTGATTGTTGGTATGTCAATGGGAGTTGAAGGTGTTCAGTACTTAGCAACTTGAAAAATTAGGCCCTTAAATGTTACCATGTACAGGGCTTAAAAGTTTACCAGACACAAGCATGAGACTAAACTCATAAGTCGGTATGAAAATTAGCTCCATGGGCCTTATCCTGGTGAGAAGCCCAGCACCCATACCTAGCATCTAGGAAAGGAAACGGTGCTGACATTCTTATCAGGGTGCTGTCTATGGGGCTCTTTGCTTTGTAACAGTATATAGATTGTGGGTGCCTCCTGATTTTTAAGTCTCTGACCTCCATCTAGCTGCTGGAAGAAGGAGTTTTCTCTTTCTTCTCCCCACTCCGTCTCCTGGCATTCCTTTGCCCCCCAAACTCATTGAATTTTAGGTGCACAAGAAATTCAGGAATGGCCCCAAAATATGTTTCATTTATAAGTATATTGGTTGTTTTGGTGGCTCACTCTGAGGCAGGCTTTCAGAAATAACTAACCAGTGGTCGAAAGTAAATAGTGGTAACAGTAATTGTATTTCTGACTATTTACGTATGTTTGATGAGCCCAGATCTGGAAGTCTGTGGTGTATTTATACTGCATGCTTGGGGAAAAAGTGGCTGAAGATCATATAGCCTCTTTCTTTTCCTATGAAGACTCATTTCCATGATATGAGAATGATGCTAGTTAAAATACAGTATGTAGTTGACTCTGCTCATGCCCTCAAGCTTTACACTCAATCAGAAGGATACCAAAGGTTTGACATTATGGCTCCTATTAGTATGAGCAGTACTCCTTGTCTGACAATGCTCTATTACTCAGAAGGTGGGACTTACCATGATGAAGGACATGCTATAAAAACCTGAATGGAAGGAAGGTATGCATTACATACCTCTAATTACAAGTTACAGCCCTTATTTTAAACTCATATTTACCTTCATACACTTATAAGCCTGATATATATTTTTTCCATTTACATAGCCCCAAAAGTTTGCTTGGTGCTTCGGAAGTGTATTGAGATTGGAGCCCAGCACTGAAAAGTTTACAATCTAAGAAGGAGAAAAGGATGGGGATGGGGACAAATGCAACATATAAACAAAGTGATATAGCTGTTGTGTTTTACATGCATCTTGCTAGTTTAATCTTCAACACACGCCAATACTTGCACTGCTCCCTCTTATAGGAATAAGTTTATTTAATCATCTTTTCTGAAGATAGCAAAAAAAAGTCATATACTATGAGCTCTGTGTAGCAAATGTGCTGTACTATGTTGCTGAAGAGTGGTAGTGTAAGCACAGTTAAAAGTAAAGTGATGTTTCTATTTTGCTAAGGTTACATGATGACATCATGATACCTATTCAAACTGGTTATCCTAATGTAAGGTTTCTCGCACCTTCCTCTGTGGTGCTGGCCACTGTCAGAGAGAGGATGCTGGATTAGATGGTTTGATCCCGTATGGCAATTCCTATGTTTCTTTGTAAGTTTGAGCACCCACTGGTCATGTGATGTATATTTTTAGGGTCTGACTTGTTGCCAGACTCTTAATTACAGAAGTCTCCACAAGAAAATATTTGTATGGCATGGGAGTTTGCTAGGATGAAGTAGATCCAGGCCGTCTGCCATCAGGTGGTGTGGAGCAGAAGGAGGGTCACATGACAGGAAAATATGAGCAGGGGAGATTCGGGAGTGAGGGACAGAAGTGGTGGAGGGGTAAGATTATTTTAAAGGAGATAGACTATCGGTTGAACATTAAAAAAAAGATTATAAAAACTTGAAGATTGAAGTTTTCTGTAGGAAAAAGCCTGCCCTATCTAAAAGAACAGGGTTTTTTTTAACAAACATTTATTCCATGTAAGTGTCTTTAAGCTCAAATATTCATGTTGAGCTGTAAAGCATTATTCTCGGTTTTTCTCTACCTGCCAGTTTCCTTTTTGAAAAAAGGCATAAGATAAAATTACAAAAGCACCTATGGCCCAGCTTTTTGAAGGTATTCAGGCATTACTCCACTCAGCATTGCACGGCTTAAGTGACCTAGGAGCCTAAGTCTCATATCAAAAGTGCCAAGCCCAGATCCCATTGCCTGTCAATGAGGCTTAGAATCTAAATCACTTAGACGTTTTTGAAAATCTTACCCAGGACATAAAATAGAAATTTCTCTAAAATCTCTGAACTAGTTCATTCATTTTTGGATATGGAAACAGAGAAAAGTATACTTTTTATGGTTCACTTTAGAATAGCTAAAGTTTCTGAATTGGCATGTGGGTAGCCCTCAGTGAGAAACAGGCCAGTAAGAAGTTAGTGATTTCTTTAAAAAAAAAAAAAATTTTTTTTTTCTTTCTTTGAGGAGTTAGGCTTCAGTAGAAAGACTAGAAATACTGCCATGTAAGACCAGCTCTGGGAGGAAAAAACTGGCTACATTGTTTCAATGTGTGTTTTTGGAGCTTATCTCCATATGTCTATGAATTAAAAAGAGAGTGGAATAGCAAATTAAGACACTCAAATCCTCAGCTGGTAAAGAATGCATCCTTTGTTGTTCTGCAAACTCTGGCACAGCGTTTTTTTTGGGAAAACAGACGACCTGTTACATAAGTTCCTGGAACTCAGAAGCCTAAAGGAAAGGGCAATAAATCAACTGCCAGTATCGAGACTTAAGAAGCCTGGATGTATGTAGAGCAGAGATTTCCAAACTGTGGGGTGCACCTCCCTGGGGGCCTGGAGAGAGGTGGGGTGGCAAGTGGCAGCGCCAGGCAGCTGGTGCCTGCCTTGCACAGCGGGACTTGAGGAGGGAGTGCTACCTCCACCCCGACACCCTTTTGGGCCACTTAGCGTGTGGGCCAATGTTAACATCTGCCGCACCCGTGCCGATTTCCACTCCTGGCAGCCTCCACGCCCAGTGCTGGTTCCACCTCAGAGACCATCACACGCACCTTCCCCTGCCCTGGAACCCCAAAGTGGGAGGGGCTGGCGCAACCAAAAATTATAATTCAAAGGGCGGGGGGGAGGGTGACTCAGCTCAAAGTTTGAAAACTGCTGATATAGGAGCAATGCGTTTTCCTTTCCACATGAAAGTCTGGGCAGTGTTGTTCCTCCTACAGACCTGGTGGGTGAGCTGGTGGCTTTACACTTTTATCTCAGAAAAGGATTCATGTACTCTGAGGGGAGGAGATGATGATAAGAGCACAGGCTTGCTTCCTGTGGGATTAGCCTACTCCTGTTTTTCCTGTCCAGTTGGCCCCAGTGCAATCGTATTGACAACAATGGAGTTGGGAAGGTGCAAGTGAGGATAGAATTGCTCCACAGGATTTTTATTCTTTGTGCTGATGCATGAACCAGAAAGAACCCAGCTTGACTTTCACATCATTGACTAGCTGAGGTGCTGGCAGTTAAAATGAGCAAATTGGATCTGGGGTCATTGATAGATGCCAAATATGGAACCCCACGCTGCCATTTTTATTCACTTTTCAGAATACAGCCACACTTTAAGGTTGAGAATTTAAGTCTCCACACGTTTCAGGGTTAAGAAGTCTTAATTTACTTGTGTTTATATATCGTTCTGTGAACTTTCACTGCACAGTCGTGTAATGCTGAAATTACTTTGAAGTGGCGTTCAAGTGGATGAGAGACTCTGAATTGCCTTCTAGGTCATTACTTATTTTCCAAATAAGAGCAAACTAATAACATGTACTTACAGGCCCACCAGCTTTGTACAGAGATGCACAGATGCTGTCCAGCGCCATGGCCGCAGGTGGTAACATTGGAAGGATCTGCTAGCCTGCCTGAATCAAAACAAAATAGAATGCCAGAAGCTGCTCACCTTATTCACAGGAGCAGTCCCATTGAAGCCTATGGGACTTCTTGCATAAGTAAAGCATTCAGGATTTGGCTCAGTGAAAGAAAATAGTTCATATAGTAGTTTAATTTCACAGTCAATGCCTCCTGTAGTGCATAAAAGATGCATTAGTAAATTGGTTTTTGCTATTACTGGCTGTAAATTTATTTGGAGAACTGCAAATATAGAACTGTCTGAAAGCTGGAAAACCTAAAAATCCTCATTTTTAATTTATAAATGCACGGTAATGCTAATTTGGCAACAGAAGCAAAACTGCTTATGTACCAGACACACCTAATGAACAGCACAGCATAAATATCTCACCCAGCTGCTCTGGGGAGGTTTGTACCCCTAAGTACAGAATGCCAGTGAATTGAGACTCCCAAACCATGGCCTGAACTCAGCAAAGCACAAAAGTGTGTACTCAATATTAAGCATCTGAGTAATCCCACTCCTGTTCAGCCAAACTCTTCAACAAGTGCTTAATGTTAAACATGTTTACAGTCTCATGGCGATTCTTTGAAGGCATTTAAGCACATGTTTAACTTTAAGGATGTAATATAAGTATCCTCTTCCTGTTTGGCAACACATTTAAATCATGTGTTTAACATTAATTATGTGAGTAACCTCATTGTAATTCAGCATTTCACTTATATGCCTGTTAAAGTATGTGACATGAGTATTCTCATGCTTATTAAGCAAACTATTTACGCATGTGCTTTGGTGAATCAGGTCCTACAATACCTGCTATTACAGAGGTTCCCAAATGCTGGACAGCAGAGCATTTGGTATGTGGAGAATGAGCTGGATATGTTTCTGTCAGACAAATCACCTCTGTTTCTGCCAGATAAATCACATTAAATGAAATCGAAAATACATTAAATCCTTTTTGATTACTATTTTCTATATAAACAATTGCTGTACTTGCCTAAGGGAAGATGTGTAATCATGAATGGTGAGATGTCCACAAGATAATCCCTCTGGTAAGATGTGATCCATACCATGAAAAGGTTTGGAGATCCTTCTACTACTATATTTACATATACTGTATTGTGCAATCAAAATGAAACAACTAGGAACTAGGGCTATCAATTAATCGCAGTTAACTCACGGGATTAACTCAAAAAAAGTAATCACGATTTAAAAAATTAATCACAATTAATCACAGTTTTAATTGCACTGTTAAACAATAGAATACCCATTGAAATTTATTAAATATTTTTGGATGTTTTTCTACATTTTCAAATATATTGATTTCAATTACAACACAGAATACAAAGTGTACACTGCTCACTTTATATTATTATTTATGATTTCAAATATTTGCACTGTAAAAATGATAAGCAAAAGAAATAGTATTTTTCATTTCCCCTCATACAAGTACTGTAGTGCAATCTCTTTATCATGAAAATGCAACTTACAAATTTAGATTTTGTTGTTGTTACATAACTGCATTCAAAACCAAACCCATGTAAAACTTCAGAGCATACAAGTCCGCTCAGTCCTACTTCTTGTTCAGCCAATCACTAAGGCAAACAAGTTTGTTTACATTTACAAGTCTGTCTCATCTTACGCTGGGGTTACGTTCCACAGCGCCTAAAGCGAAAATCGCGTATAGTCAAAATTACATTGAGTATAATGGCGGGCGGAATCGCCCACACTACAGAAACAGTATTTAAATTGTTATTTTTCTTTTTTTTGTTTTGTTTTTGCCGACCGCGTAAAGCTGAAATCGCACATGTTAAATGCGCCTAAGATGCGACAGACCAGGACAGAGATACTGTTGCCCACTTCTTATTTACAATGTCACCAGAAAGTGAGAACAGGCATTTGCATGGCACTTTTGTAGCCAGCATTGCAAGGTATTTACGTGCCAGATATGCTAAACATTCGTATGCTCCTTCATGCTTCAGCCACCATTCCAGCGGATACGCTTCCATGCTGATGACGCTCATTTTAAAAAAAAAAAGCATTAATTAGATTTGTGACTGAACTTCTTGGGAGAGAATTGTATGTCTCCTGCTCTGTTTTACCCACATTCTGCCATATAGTTCATGTTATAGCAGTCTCAGATGATGACTCAGCACATGCTGTTCATTTTAAGGACACTTTCGCTGCAGATTTGACAAAACGCAAAGGAGGTACCAATGTGAGATTTCTAAAGATAGCTACAGCACTCGACCCAAGGTCTAAGAATCTGAAGTGCCTTCCAAAATCTGAGAGGGATGAGGGGTGGAACATGCTTTCAGAGGTCTTTAAAAAGCAACACTCTGATGCAGAAATTACAGAACCCAAACCACCAAAAAAGAAAATCAACCTTCTGCTGGTGGCATCTGACTCAGATGATGAAAATGAACATGGGTTGGTCCGCACTACTTTGGACCTTATCGAGCAGAACCTGTCATCAGCATGGATGCATGTCATCTGGTATGGCGGTTGAAGCATGAAGGGACATATGAATCTTTAGCGCATCTGGCATGTAAATATCTTGCGATGCCGGCTGTAACAATGCTGTGAGAACACCTGTTCTCACTTTCAGGTGACATTGTAAACAAGAAGCGGGCAGCATTATCTCCTGCAAATGTAAACAAACTTGCTTGTCTGAGTGATTGGCTGAGTGGCACTGAGTGGACTTGCAGGCTCTAAAGTTTTACATTATTTTATTTTTGAATGCAGTTATTTTTTGTACATAATTCTACATTTGTAAGTTCAACTTTCATGATAAAGAGATTGCACTACAGTACTTGCATTAGGTGAATTAAAAAATACTATTTCTTTTGTTTTTTACAGTGCAAATATTTGTAATAAAAATAAATATAAAGTGAGCACTGCACACTTTGTACTCCGTGTTGTAATTGAAATCAATATATTTGAAAATGTAGAAAACATCCAAAAATATTTAAATAAATGGTACTCTATTATTGTTTAACAGTGAGATTAATTGTGATTAATTTATTTAATCATTTGACAGCCCTACTAGGAGCCTAATTTGAAACTGGTCAACGATATGGGTCAAATCTAAATCAAAATTGACAGTTGTTCAGCTTTTTAAAGTGAATTAAGTGCTTTAGAAAGATGATATAGCGACAGCCCTGGAGACTGTTGCTCAACTACATTTAGCTACAGTTTCATAGATTCACTAATTACCGATGCCTCCATAATAGTGCTGAAGATATTCATAGCACATTACAAAACAAAGCGATTAAAGATAGTGTCCCTGCCCTGATGAATTCATATTCTAAATTAAGACCAGAATTATGGGAGATTGCAGAGTCGATTCATGGGAGGTGTGTTGGTAATTAAAATTTTACTCTAGCTATTTTTGAGGAATTGCTGAATAACTTGTTAGAGAAGAAACCAGGAGACTGCTAAGAATGTTGTGCGCTGATACCTAGGGTGTTATACTACTGCCTAATGTGAGGAGTTGAGCTCTGGCACTGCCCCTGGATGTCAACCCATTCTGGCTGACTGCATGGACCGTCCTATAAGGGGCACTCTGGCTCCTACTCTCCCTTGTGCGTCAGCAGTGGGGTGCTGATCCAGAGGGCACGTGCAGGGAGAGACCTCCCATGAAAATCTGGGAGCAGAGAGGAACAGCTAGGCAGCATTTGTTACAATAGATAACTGATGCTATCATGTTTAGCTAAAACTTTTTTCCAAACTTCCCCAATGGCACTGGGAAGATGCAAAAGCACTTCATTGTTTGAGTTAGGACCTTCTCCCAACACTGTGCAATGGAAGGCAGGGGATTTCAAAACAGGGTGATTTTTAAATGTTTACTTGAAAATTTACCAATGATTTTTTAGCTAGGAAATTTCCCAGAAAATGTAGTCTCCTGAATGGTAACACTGGTAAATTCAGTTGTTAACACATGAAATAGGGGGAATTAACACCACCTTTAAGTGGGAGGCTTCCCTTTATCCACAGAACAGTTACACTACAGTAAGTAGCAGGGCAAGATTACTCATAAAATTCTTACTAATGTGCCTCATATCTGACCTGGAGAAACCTTTAGGGTACGTATACACTGCAAAATGAAGATGTGATTTTAGCATGGGTAGGCATATCTATGCTAACTTTAATCTTGCTAGCAGCAGTAACAACAGCACTGTCGACATGGCAGCGTGGGTTTCAGCATGAGCTAGCAACCCAAGTATGTACCCAGGTTCCCCAGCGGGCTAGTTTTAATCTGGTTAGCATAAGTATGCCTCCCTGTACCACATATATACTTTCACTTTGCAGTCTACTAAGACTGACAACAAGAATGACAAATCATTGAAAATAGTGATGTTGCTTGGCTTTTGTGGACTGGGCCCTCAGGTACTAGGCCTCGCTGACCTACACAAATATTTTCATGAATTTTTTCACAAATCTTTTTGTCAAAACTTTGAAATTTCAAAAAATCTCTCACGCTTTTTAAGCTGGTAAAAAAGGGACAAGTTTTGAAAATGTTTTCAAAAACAAATTCATAAAAAATTTAAATGTTTCAACCCATTCAAGGAATTATGGCTGAAGCTACCAATGAAGATCTCATAAGCTACCAAATTAAAACAACAACAACAAAAACAATCAGTTAATATTTTAAAATCAGAGTTGCAATATCCAGTATAAAATTAGATGATCAGGAAATGCTTTTTAAAGCAGTGAATTAAGACACTAATCTATTAATTTTCTACCTCTATTTTTGGCCTAGTAGGATTTTTAAAAACCATACTTGGCTTCTGATTAACATTGTATGTGGCAATATCTTCCCATATCAGCAAGGCAACTTCAAGTCCCCGTATCTATTGCTCAACAGTGCAAGGACACTGCATTCATTTCAAAAGTTCCCTTCCAACCTAGCAACTAAACTCTCTTCTGGGTAAAGCAAAATTCAGAATGTATGGGACTGTACTGGTTGCAAGTAGGAGCCCATGAAAAAAACCAACCTGCACTTATCTATTAAATATTTAGTTATTACAGCCCCTTTAAGGAGAGAGTTTGTACCTGTATGATATTGCCAGCCAAGCTGCAGAGGCAAGCCCCATAGGATATTGCCAACGTTATTTGATCCAGATGTGGTGAAATATTTAGCTGAATAGTTGAGCACGATCTTATACACTCCCAGTCTCTCTAGATAGTTCCAGGCACTGATCGCGGTTTTGTTGCCATGTACTGGGAAATCCTCTATGCTTCCAGGAGCCTGATGCCACAGAGGAGGATAGACATCCTTTTTGAAGACATCCTCTTGGGTTAGTGCTACTACAGTTGCTGGACTGAGAGCAAGGGCGGTCAGTAGCACAAGGAGAAGAGAGTGCTGCCCCAGGAACACACGCATGTCAGGTAGGACCATCTTATACAGGTATCTGGGGCTTTCAGAGTAGGGATGAGCTTTCATCAGGGAAGGCAGGGGCAGGGATGGTGGCTCAGGCTACCTATACAGTCAGTCAGCATGGATCACCCTGCCCCTTTTTCCATGAAGCTGACGTGGCTCTGTCAGATTGGCATACCAAGAGTGATGCTCATACCTCTGCCGTTCCAATGCTGCCTTTGGGGCAGAGATGGGGAGCTGAGGGATCTCTGGTGCAGTATCAGTGTGACTTGAACATGCGGTATCTGAGTGACTTGAACATGTTCAATAACAACAGAGGAAAGAAGCAGGAATAAATGAAGCTGCTGCCCTCTTACCATAACAATCTTCTCCTCCAACAAAATGGGGATAAAAATGGGAGGAGGAGAAAGGATTTTTAAAATGGAGGTGAGGGGAAAAAACAAGGGAGGGGATGGGAAGCTGAGAGACAATAACAAGGGCAGAGGGGCAAAAATGAGGGAGCAGTAGAGAGGGGAATTGTGCTCCTCCTTGGACAATGCAGTGCTGGGCTGTGAGTAAAACCGTAATAAAGCCCAATACTTAGACAACCTCTGTCAGGAAACTGAAAGTAACTTCCTGCTACCAATGTTCCCTCTAAAAATTTGTTGTTGTGAGCGGGCTACAAACTCTGCTGAGCGATACATTTTTGTCCTTGGGCAAGCTTATGCCTTTTTTTCAGTGAGGGGTATGTCGAGGGGGATTGTGTGGAGGGGAGGGGGTAAGTGGTGGTGGGGTCCTGTGAGCCGCAGCTCTGGAGATGTGGAGTTCTGTGCTGAAACCATTACCAGTAGTTAATTCTGACAGGTAGCTGTTTCTGCTGGGCTGCACGGAGGAGGCGTTAGTGGCACGTTTCTGACCTGTGCAGTACACACAAGATTGCTGCCCAGCCAGGCAGTTTACAGGGAACATTGGTTGAAACTCATCTTTATTCGTGGCTCCAGCTATCCGTACATACTGGATCCCTGAACCTTGTTTATTTTTAGAACTTGAGCTTCTTTTTTAATTAATAGGGCTGGTATTTTCAAAGGAGGCTAAAGGAGTTGGGGCCAAGATCCTTAAAGGTATTTAAGTCCCTAACTCCCACTGATTTCAATAGGAGTTGGGTACCTAAATACCTTTGAGGATTCTGGCCAAGGTGCCAAAATCTCACTGAAACTCAATGCAATTTGGGTACCTAGCTCCCTTGGCCTTTTGAAAATCATAGCTTCAGTGTCCATTTTAACAACCACATAACTTCAGGACGAATGCAGCAGGCAATTAATCCTGACCTATTAGAGGGATATGGGGAAATAGGTATGGGGGCAGAGACAGCAGCTGGGCATGAGCTGAATCCCCTCCCAAAGGTCTGTATTTGGAGACTGTTGGTTGTAGTTCAAGATAAGAACGGTCATACTAGGTCGGACCAATAGTCCATCTAGACCAGTATCCTGTCTCTGGCAGTGGCCAGTGGCAGATGCTTCAGAAGGAATGAACAGAACAGGGCAATTTCGGGTGTTCCATCTCCTGTCATCCAGCACCAGCTTCTGGCATTTGGAGGCTTAGGGACACCTGGAGCATGCAGTTGCATCTCTCTGACCATCTTGGCTAATAGCTATTGTGGAACCTATCCTCCATGGACTTTTTTGAACCCAGTTATGACTGTGTGTTATGTGAAGAAGTACTTCCATTCATTTGTGTTAAACCTTCTGCCTATTCATTTCAATGGGCAACCCTAGTTTTTGTGGTATACGAAGGGGCTAATAACACTTTTTTTTCTATACCATTTATGATTTTATAGACCTCTATCATATCCCCACCTTAGTCATCTCTTTTCTAAAATGAATAATCCCAGTCTTTTTAACCTCTCCTCGTATGGAAGCTGTTCTATACGCCTAATCATTTTTGTTGCCCTTCTCTGCACCTTTCCCAATTCTAAATATCTTTTCTGAGATGGGGAGACCAGAACTGTATGCAGTATTCAATGTGTTGTGTACCATGGATTTATATAGTGGTATTATCATATTTTCTGTTTTATCTGTCTCTTTCTTCATGGTTCTGAACATTGTTAGCTTTTTTGAATGCTGCCGCATTTTGAGAGAATGTTTTCAGAGAATTATCCACAATGACTCCAAGATCTTTCCTGAGATATCAGCCAATTTAGACCCCATCATTTTGTATGTATAGGTGAGATTATTTTTTCCCATGTGCATTACTTTGCACTTATCAACACTGAATTTCATCTGCCATTTTGTTGCCCAGTCACCCAGTTTTGTGAGATCCTTTTGTAACTTTTCACAGTCTGCTTTGGACTTAATTTTCTTGAGTAATTTTATATCATCTGCAAATTTTGCCTCCTCATAGTTCACTCCCTCTTCTAGATCATTTATGAATATGTTGAACAGCATAGGTCCAAGTACAGAACCTTTGGGGACCCTGCTATTGACCTCTCTCCAGAGTGACAACTGACCATTTATTCCTACCCTTCGTTTCCTAAATTTTAACCTGCTACTGATCCAGGAGAGGACTTTTCCTCTTATCACATGTCTGCTTACTTTGCTTAAGAGTCTTTGAGTGACCCTGTCAAATACTTCCTTAAAGTCCAAGTACACGTTATCAACTAGATCATCCTTGTCCACATAGTGGTTGACACCCTCAAATAATTCTAATAGATTGGTGAGGCATGATTTCCCTTTACAAAAGCTGTGTTCACTTTTCCCCAACATAGTGTATTTATCTATGTTTCTGATAATTCTGTTCTGTACTATAGTTTCTCCCAATTTGCCTGGTACTGCAGTTAAGCTTAGCAACCTGTAATTGCCAGGATCTCCTCTATCTCCACTGATTTAAACAATAAGTTACATACCACAGTTAGTAGTTCTGCAATTTCTTGAGTTCCTTCAGAACTCTTGGGTGAATATCATCTGGTCCTAGTGACTTGTTACTGTTTAAAATTTATCAATTTGTTCCAAAACCTCCTTTATTGACACTATTAATCTGGGACAGTTGTTTTTACCCAAATGTTTTCTTTCTCACCGCTCTGTAGTAAGTAGTGCAATGATTGTGATGCAGGGAAACGTGGCTAATGAAGCAGGCAGGGCGGGGCAGGCAGGTTAGCTGGGGAGGAGAGCATGGAATGGATTTAGCTAGTTGCTCTTCAAGTTTTTTTCTTGCCCTGCCTTATTATTCCTCATTTTTGTGTAATTCCCCTTTTGAAGTTAAATACTAGTGTGGTGAGTTTCATTGGCACTTCCCCCTACAAAGATGTTACATTTAATTACATTTTAGTTGCTATTACTGAGTGGTTCAGTTATATTTACCTCTTAGACCTAATCCTGTCCTCCACTTTAGACTAAACCAAGAATTGCGTGCTCTCAGCCCCCGCACACTACCTCTCTTCAGTCAGTGGAAGCGCTTTGGTGCGAATGTGCACCACCAACAGAAGGAGGGTAGTGTGGACATCAGCCACTGCAGTAAATACTAACATAGGCCAATTTACGATTGTAGTGTAGATATGCCCTCAGTGTATTAGCGTGGAATAATATAGATAAAAGTAGGCTTAGTGTTTATTGTGTGGGTGAGTTGTTGAGCGATCCTTGAATAAACTGCAATTAGGATTAGATAGAGATTAATTAATATGTAAATAGCAAGGTGTAAAATAGCTCCCAATCTTCTACTCACTATAATCTGCTGGTAAGGAAAAGAAGTTTGGGGAGTCTAATTAAATACTTTGCTAAAGCCAGCGTGCTTTGGAGAGAGCAGCACATTAGCCAGGGCTTGGTTTTACCCAAATGTTTTCCTTCTCGCCACTCTGTAGTAAGTAGCACACCCATTGTGATGCAGGGAAACATGGCTAATGAAGTGGGCAGGGCGGGGGAGGCAGGTTAGCTGGGAAGGAGAGCATGCAATGGATTTTATTAACACTGTTGAGCTGCTTGTGAATGATTTTGTGACTATACAAATTGGCGACTTCTTTCTCTGAATATCACTGTAATTGACAGTGAAAGTCACTAGATTTGTCACTGGTTGCTTTGACACTTATTTCCTCGCTAGGGAAACCAAAAAGGTCAGTAAATCTAGCAACAAAATCACTGAGTTGGCAACACGTTGGAATTTCCCAAACTTGGTCAGATCTGTTTTCCTTTCCTGTACTATAGAGCCCTCTACTGACTGGACGTTGAACTGGGGGAGCACAGTGCCAATAGTGAGTCAACAGGTTCATTGCAGTACCTAGGGCTAACTACGGAGGCCATACAGATGCTCTGGGTCGTACTGTTTACACAGCGCCCTGTCTTCAGAATGGAACAGGTTGATGAGATCTGTACACCAGTGCTCTGTGCAGCTAGGTACACTGGTGCTCTGCATTCTGCACTAGCTCCCCATGCAATTCTGGATCCAATTTTAGAGCCTAGTTCTCTACTTCAAAGCTTTCAATGAGCTATGGCCTGGTTACTTTTCGCACCATACTGAGAATTCTATAATTAACAAAGATACAGTTGCTGACAGCATTCAGGATGATATTCTCATTTAGATGGGGGAAAAGTGTTTTTGGCAGAGTCTGCAGCTGTAGGAGCCATAACAGCTGTAGATCAGGATGAATTTGTGCTTTGTCTCTTTTAGAGCACAATGCAAGATGGCTCTTAGCACATGTTTTAATTCAGTTCCCAGACAAAACACTACGCTAAACTAGTGTTAAGACTGAGAGTAGATAAGAATCATAGAATATCAGGGTTGGAAGGGACCTCAGAAGGTCATCTAGTCCAACCCCCTGCTCAAAGCAGGACCTAATCCCCAACTAAATCATCCCAGCCAGGGCTTTGTCAAGCCTGACCTTAAAAACCTCTAAGGAAGGAGATTCCATCACCTCCCTAGGTATCCTGTTCCAGTGCTTCACCACCCTCCTAGTGAAATTTTGAGTAATTTAAGGGTTAAAAACATTACAAAATTGTTGTAATTATCGCAAAAACTAAACATTTCAAGGCATCACATCCTTCTTCTTGCCATTTTCCATAACTCCCGTTCTCCAGTTGTATTGTCTTCATGAAGTTCCA